GATCTCCCTCATACTACCCCTTAGAGCTATAGTCGCACCCTACAACCCTCACCATCCCTAACTCATGGCAACCACTATTCTGTTCTTCATCTCTATAATTTTGTCATTCTGAAAATGTTATATATATATATATATATATATATATATATATATATATATATGTTCCATATATATATATGGAATTATACAGTATGTGACCTTTACAAATTCACCTTTGTCATGGTTATTTCTTATTGTGTCAGTGTATTTGCAAAATTGTTCGTAGAATTGGTTTGAGATGATGCTGTATTTTTTTTCAGAGAATGCTTCTTCTGCCAAGTACCTGGTGTCCTAGCACTCTGAAATAACCTTGGTTAAATCTTAGGGATTGACGTCTTAACAAATTGAGGTGCACTCCTTATAAGGGTCTATGTAACTTCTGGTTCACACTGCTAGGATGCAACCTTTCAGGATTCCAACCCAAAGTTTAAGGAATGGAGCAGATTTAAGGAATGACTCTTTCCCTTGGTGGGCTCAGGACTCCAATTTCTACTCTTCTTAGCTTCTTAGCCTCTCAACTGTTTTTTCTGGAATCATCTAACATCCTCCAGTAAAAGGAAGCTCCAAGCTCCTTACTATCCTCTTAGAGCCTCTTCTTTCTTTGGATTCTAGCCCAGTCATTTTTCTCTATCTTGTTAAATTTGCATTTCTTCAAGCAAGTGATTTTTATACAGTTTGTCCAGACTTTCTAATTATCCTCAGCAGTGAGTGGGTCTAAATCACCTAGTCTGCTATTACTAGAAACAAATGTTTCCTATAGTTATGTTTTCTTTGACCCATACATATATATAGTTTTAAAAATTTAAATAATTTTAAATTTTTGAATAAAAATTGGGATATCTGACTTTTATTGATATCTGAATTCACTCAAGACAAAAATCAGGTAAAGCAGTTAAGGATACTGCCCCCTTTAGGAAAAACACTTACTCCCAATTTGGCTACAGTCTTCCTTCACCCCTATTGTCTGCATCCAGCCACTTTATATATTTAAATAACATGCCTGCCTGGCCACTATAAACGTTCCTATTTAAAAGAAATTTTAAAATTTAATATGGCTTTTTTCGTTCCTAGAATTTTGTTAGTAAATGAGATCTTCATTACTTTAGATTTTGGGTCATTTTTATTCTTTTCTTTCATTGTTTAGAAGTGCCAGCTTGGGGCACAAAGTCAGTCATAGTCCTTGTACTATTCCCACTAAATGCCTGAACCTCTATCCAGTCACTTCTAAGAATGTCTTTCTTACCTCCCTACAACCCAGCCTCTCCTGATAACTCTAAATCCACTAAGGATATTTATTTACAATCAGTCTTATTACTACTGCTGAAGAGAGAAAATTGGAAGACGTCCTCAGTCATCATTATTAGAGGCTGATCATTAAAAGTTCCTGTACTTTTTGATTCACATGGTAAATTTACTTCTCAGAATCTATTTCTCCTCTGCTTAACTTACTGTAATCATGGTTGCTCCTCTCATACCGCACAGAATATAAATAAACAAGAAAATATGAGACATATTAAAAATGGTGTAAGATCAAAATTATTACTTAGACTTTAATATCATCATTTTACTAGTCTTAATCATTTTGTAAGCATATTTTGAGGAACCACTGTTGCCCATGTGCTTTGCTGTTTCATGACCATGTGTAGCTTCAAGGTATAGAAAGTTATTGATTCTCAAAGAGCTTAAATTTTATCTGGGAAGAGAGACCACTTAAAAAGCAGTATAAAACATACATGAAATATACATGAAATACTTTTATAGATGTAAAATAACAGAATAAAAGGAAGTATATTATGCCACTAGAATGCTAGTGAGAAGAGTAACAAGAAGCTGAAGATGTTGAACAAGAAAGGCTCTTGAAAAATGTTCTTGGGTCAGATTTTGAGGAAAGTTTTAGACATGGACTTACAGGAGAGAGAGGTGAAGTTATTCCAGCAAGCAGTATTTTTTGCAGAGCTTTTCTTTCCAGGAGCTCAGCCAGTTCACATTTATTCTTTTTCTTCAGAGTTTTGAAGGAGATTTTGTAGTACGCTGGCACAGAGTTGATATTTTTTTAGTGCTCAAGAATATGTAGACAGTCAAGTGTACTATATATAAAAATAGGAAATGAGACAGAATAACAGGGATAATCATCTCCACTCTCAGTTCAGTCTTGTCATTTTCCCTCATTCTATTCAACAGAAATATTGCACTTTCTGGAGGAGGCAACATGATATTTAATATACGGATACTGACCTTAAGGAGCTTTCAATTGCCGGTAGAGGTTTTGGCACCTAAGTGAGAAGTTAAACACTATGCATTAGTCACGTAGACATATAAGAAATGTCACAAGGCAGTGGCTGAGAAATATAAAAAACATCAATGACGAAAAGTCTTAGCAAAGCTCATAGGAAGCAGAATCTTTTTTTTTTTTTTTGAGGAAGATTAGCCCTGAGCTAACTGCTGCCAATCCTCCTACTTTTGCTGAGGAAGGCTGCCCTGAGCTAACATCCGTAACCATCTTCCTCTACTTTATGTGTGGGATGCCTACCACAGCACGGCTTGTCAAGCAGTGCCATGTCCACACCCAGGATCCGAACCAGCAAACCCCGGGCCGCGGAAGTGGAACGTGCACACTTAACCTCTGCACAACCAGGCCACCCCGGAAGCAGAATCTTCGAGGGCTGGATTGAAGGAAAAGGGCTTCATGAAACAGATGTAACTTAGAATCATTTCAGCAGGGAAACTACAGAGGTCCTCTCATCCAACTAGATGAACCCTTCTATGACATCCTTAATAAATGGCTTTTTTTCTCCAGTAATACAGAATTCACTTTCATGAGACATCCCATTTCAAGTTCTTAGAGAGAATGTTCTTCCTCATACTCAACCCCAAATCAGCATCCTTATTACATCTGATGGTGCTATCCAGAGCCAACTGTCCCTCTGTCCGTCATCTTCGGGTGCTCCAGTGTGTTACAGATGTGCTGGCTTATTTTTTCCCTTGGCCCTCCTAGCTGTCTACAGAGCCGGAAATAGCCATAGCACCAGGACTATGGCCATGAGAAACCGCTTGTGTTTATCACAGTGCAATAAATATTATCACCTCTTATGTATGCTCTGCTGTGAAAATAATTGTGAAGCATTGCTCAGCAGAGCATGGTAGCAAAGAGATCCAGGCTCTGGAATCAGAGAGACCCAAGTTAGAATCTTGGCTTTGCCAGTTATTAGTTCTCACACCTTGGGAAAGAGACTATACCTTTCCAATCCTCAATTTCTACATTGTAAAATTCGTACAATAATACTGCTTCCCTTATAGAGTTGATATAAAAATTAAAGATGATAACATATTAGGACTAATAAATACTATTATTGTCATTGGTTCTGCTTTTACCCTTTTTAACCATGATATAGAATTCCTCTCCTGTTTTACAAACTTCCAGTTACTTAAAGCTAGCTTTTGTTTCCTCTAAGTCTCCTCTTCTGGCTAAATATGCCAGGTTCCTTCAGTGTCTTCTTGTTCAATGTGAGTGCAAGTTTCTTCAACTTCTTAGTTGCTCTCCTTTAGACACCCTATGGTGTCTTTGTGTTTCCTTTTAAATATATAGTACAGAGAACAGCATGCACCCCCACAAATGTGGCTTGATGAGATAGTCCTTGGAGGATGGAGGGAATAGGGGAATGGAGGAAGGATGTTCTCACTGGAGAACAGTGTAATGAACAAAGGAGAAAAAACCCTAGCACATATGTCATCTTTATTAACAAATGGGTCTAACTGGTAAAAAGAGTCATGGAGAAAAAAGGTTTTAAAGGGGCTAGATTGTGAAATCCGTGGAACTCTGAAACTGTGGATTCTATCAATATAAAGGGAAACCAACAAAATGGCCATTATAGTCGATTGATCTATCACTTGAAAGAAAGCAATACAGAATTCATGTGAGCTACTCACAAGCAGCAACATGTTATAAATATTATAACACTTCTATTGCTCCTCTTAAATGAAAACAATCAATAACCCTAGAATCACCCCAAAGGAGATGCTGAAAACTTGGAGATGATCCACAAACCACACCTTCTCCTTGGCTGTTGATTGCAGTGGTCCACTATGGTTAAAAAGAGGATGGAGACCCAAAGGAATTACTTTGTCCTATCCTGGGAGTCACAACTCAGTAGCTTCAACCTTTTGGGGTTCATGCCCCACCTCTGCTAGGTACTAGCTGTACGACTTTGGGCAAATTACTCAGCTTCTTTGTAATTCAGTTTCCTTTTCTGTAAAAATAAGAATTTTTACAAGACTTTAAAAATTAATTGTGACCATTAAATGAGTTAATGTATCTAAAATGATTAGAAGAGGGCCTGGCAATAATAAATGCTATTTATGTTATTGTTATTTTTGGTCATTATTATTCATAACTAAACAGATACCAGACACTCTGCTGGGCACAGGGGCTGCATAGGGGAACAGGATAATCCTTACCCTCAATAGTTACATTTCTCCCGATTTTCTGGGGAAGGAAATGTCTTTGGAAGCAGATTCCTAGATACAATACAATTTATTAGCTACCGTTTGTTGTCTTCGTAACCTTGGATGAGGCATTTAATTCTCCTGAGCCTCTTTCCTCATCTGTAAAATGAGGATTAATAAAATCTACTTCGAAGATTTCTGACTATTAAATAAGATAAACTATCCATATTACCAGCACACAATTGGAACTAAATATACACTCCTTCCTCCATAATCTTGTGGCCATACCTGAGGCTGGGAGCCTCAACCCTGAGTTTAGGAGCCGGCGCTTTCTTCTAAAGTGCCAGGCAAGAGTACGGAGCTGTAGCGGGAGCTGGTCTTCAGGAAGGGCAAAAGCAAGCAGGTGGCAGAGAGAACACAGACTGGGGGAGGCAGGGAGGCCTCCCTTGGACTACATCTCCCGGGATGCTCCGCAAGAGGGAGTGCCCCGCCCCGCCCCGCCCCGCCGGCACAGACGGCGCTGCCCACCCCGCGGAGCAGACCGGCGCGCGGAGGCTACAAGTGCTGTGGCTGGTGATCGGAGGACTTCCCCAGAGAAGCCACGCAGGGACAAGCGCGCGGTGCTCGAGCCGCACTGGGTGGCCACGACAGGAGGTAAGTGCGGAGAGTGGGACGGGGAGGAGGCGCTTGGAAGAGACAGAAACCCCAGGAGCCTGGCGGAGCAGCGGAGCGCGTCCCCACTCCCTGCCCAAGGTGCTTGCGTTGCTTCGGGTATTCGGCGAAAGCAGCCCGACTCCTCGTTGCCTTGGGCGGGCGCGGAGTTCACCCGGAATGGATTGATTGATCCCGCTGAGGCCACCGCTGCCCGGTGTCTGCGGCGCGCCCTCCCAGCACAGCGCGCGCAGGACGGATCGCGAGGTCGCCTCCCCCAGACCAGCCTCGCCCGTGTCAGTTAGTTCCAATGCAAATATTAGTGCTCTTAATTGATGGCAGACGGACGAGGGAGAGTGCAGTCTCCTCGCTTTGAGGTGCAATTTCATTGACCGCACTCTTAAACAAACCAGAAAGAAGAGCGGGAGGGGACGGAAGCAAAGAGCCTTTCTCTAGTCCCCTGGGATTATCCATTCTCCACTGAGGATGGAAGCCCCGGATTACGGAGCTGCAAAGGAAATCGGCTGTGCAGCTAGTGTATCTCCTACGGAGCAAGCGGAGTCTCTCATTTCTTTAAAGAGAAAGAGAAGCAGGAGAAGGGAATTAAGTGGAAATTTTTCTCCCTCTTTGTTATAAATTAGAAGTCCCATAAGGGACTCTGCCGGTTTTGTCCAAAGTAGTCCAATGTGATTAGTTAATTGTGCCAAAGGTTAGTCAGAGCGCCCAGTGTCTGAGGGAACTGCGAGATGATTTCTCGTTTCAGTAATTATCAAACGCATTCCCATCGCTTCGTTCCTTGAGGGATCCTGCGGTAGGGGTCTGTCAACTTGCTAAAGGAAAGCTCTGGTTCACTTGTGGTTTTCCTGCACTTGGTGTTTTATTTTATGTTTTTTTTTTTTCCTATTTTGGCTGCAGAGAAGTTCGATAATAGGGGAGAAGTGGCTTTAAAAAAAAACAAAAAACTAATGTAGAGCAGAAAACATGTGGATTTCCTTTCCCATATTTTAAGTGAGTTGTCAGGTAGACCTTAGGTGAGCCTTATTGCGCTCTTGTGTGGGTTTCCAGCTGTTGGAGCTGTGGATTTTGAAGCATAATAAAGCTCCCAAGTCATGGGTTAAATCTCTTATTACCCCAGACTTGGAAGCAAAATAAAAGGGGCCCTTGCTTGAGACCTCTGTACTTGGTAATAGTAGAAGGTGAACTTTTATTCCTCAGAAAGATAGCAGAGGCAGAGAAAGATAGGCAGATGGGTTTCTGCTCAACCCGGAGTTCTATACTAGAACGGTGGGGATGAGGGCACGTTGGGCATACAGAGTTCCAGAGGTAACTTTGCAAATAGCTTCTCACCTATTTGCCTCAACAGAACTGTGGCTCTTTAGGTTTATAACTCATCTTTTATTGTTACTTTATTTCTAGATTTGGTTTTTAAAAACTTATAGTGGTCAATTTCCTGTGCACATGTGTTAGCAAAGCCTGCAGAGGGAGAGGAACTCAGACCCACTCAGACCCAGTGATTGGGAGCAGCAGACCTGTACCTGGAGCAGGCAAGCTGCGTGTGTGGAGGAGTGGCTGCCCCGTTGTATTTTGCAGGGCTCACACAGTGAGACGTATTGTCTACATACTTCCGGGTCCGGAACATCCTACCCCCGTGTAGCAACAAGGGGATGGTTGGGAATGGAAGCACAATGTACAAGCATAGGGTCTTGTAAATATAGGGCTGTGTGACTGGGGTTATTGGATTTATGAGGTGTAAGGTTAGGAGCGGTGGCTGATTAAGCTAGCCATCTTTCACCCACTTCAGAGCTACCCAGGCAAAATTCTGAGCCCCAGCTCCCACAGAGTCCAACTGATCGGGACATATTTGTTCACCCATTGTGATGCTCTAAAGCTAATCTGTAGTAGAATCTGTTCTGAACTGAACAGAATGTAAACACATAATTATAATTGAATGGTTGAGAAGTCTGTGCTTCCCCAGGTTCTCTAGAAAATCAGCAGCTCTGCTAAAAACGGTCCTTGCCTTTCTCATTTGTGTCCCTATACAGGAAACTTGCCTTCTCATTTGAGGGATCCTGTCAGAGAAATGTGTGAGTCCCTGGATAAATTTGGCTGGGTGATGGCAATGCTTTCTTCAGAGACACTGCCACTTCCTTCGTGCTCCTTTTCTACCCTGACCTAAGATTCCCAGTGTTAATCACTGTGATAAATTAGAATTTGCCTTTCACACTTTCCTGCCACTAGGTATCCTCTCCTTTCTTTTACCCTTTTAGGAGGAACCAGGGCTGAAGTGTCAGCAACTGTGACTGCAAAGGAGATGGGGGCCTCTGGACCAGTACTCATGGTAGAGCAGCCTTAGCTCCCCTGGGGTTCTTATCTAACTGTGTTGCTATTGGCAGAATTTCCGGAAGCTGCTGGGGGATGTCTGACTAGCTCCGATGGAGCTCCACTACCTTGCTAAGGAAAGCAGCCAGGCAGCCCTGTGCAGCCCTGTGGACTGGAGTTCAGGAGGACCTCCTGGTGACCAGGCAGATGCAGCAGCCACTAAAGCTGCTCTCTGCTGCCAGAGTCACTGTCTGTCAACACCAAGATCAGCCGAGATGGAAGGGTCTAAACTTAGCCCTTCTCTCGCATCCCCTTCCTCCTTTCTGCAAGACAGTGTTATTCAGCCAGACTCCTTGCCACCAGGCCCGCTCAACTCAGGGAACAAACAAAGAACAGCAGAACGGAAAGTCTGCAACTGCTGCAGCCAGGAATTAGAAACTTCTTTTACGTATGTGGATGAAAATGTCAACTTGGAGCAGAGGAACCGGAGCTCCTGTTTATCAAAAGGGAATAATCACCCTGGAGACCTTGACTGGGGAAATGCAAATGAGTGGTCCCATGAGGCTGCCTTATCCTTGATATCTGAAGATGAAGATGATACAAGTTCAGAAGCCACATCTTCAGGGAAGTCAGTAGACTATGGTTTCATCAGCGCCATCTTGTTCTTAGTCACTGGCATCCTGCTGGTGATCATCTCTTACATTGTCCCACGGGAAGTGACCGTGGATCCCAACACTGTGGCGGCCCGGGAGATGGAACGCCTGGAGAAGGAGAGTGCAAGGCTGGGAGCTCACCTGGACCGCTGTGTGATTGCCGGACTCTGCCTGCTCACGCTTGGGGGGGTCGTTCTGTCCTGTTTGCTAATGATGTCTATGTGGAAGGGGGAGCTTTATCGTCGCAACAGGTTTGCTTCTTCCAAAGAGTCTGCAAAACTTTATGGTTCTTTCAACTTCAGGATGAAAACCAGTGCTAATGAAAACACCCTGGAACTGTCCTTGGTAGAGGAAGATGCTCTCACTGTACAGAGTTAATTCTACTGTTAACTCAGTTGTGTAGAGTTTACTGGTTGTGAACCTCTTGAGAGTCTGCCTTGGCATTTTTTATGAAAAAAAAAAAATCCAACATATTTCTTAAAATTTGCAGTGCAGTTTATTTGCCTGGTAAGAAAAGTTTCTTTCCCAAACTAACAGCCAGTGAGTGTTTTTGTTCTCTCTCTATTTTTTATTTAGAAGAAAAGCCATGTAAGATGCATTAAGTAAACACAACCAATGACACCTGTCCTTCTAAAGAGCTGAGACTAATTAATCTGTATTGGCCATCAGTTTCTACTTTATAGCAAAATATTTCTAATGACCCAGTGTACAAAGGATTTCTTTTACATGATATGGGATATTCTTCGGACACTAGGAGGTCCAACACACAGTAGGATTAATTAGTAACCTATTTTGTGAAAAAGAACTGAAGCACTAATCACATAATAAGGCTTACATTTAATTCTCAAAAGTGCTTATCCATTTTCTTCTAAATTTTTTCTTCCTGTAATTTGGCTAAACACTAAAATAAGGGTTTTGACTTTGAATATTTTGAAGCTTGAGGATGTTGATTATTAAGGAAAAAAAGGTAAAAATACATTTCTTATATTTAAAATTATTCCTGTACTCAGAAGTGGCAACTAAGTCATTAGAATAAACTTTCTAGTAAAAGAAAATTATATAAATCATTATAAGACCAATCCAAATTTAACCCAGAATGGTAGTGCCAGATATTAGCCAGTGTTGCATGTTCATTTTCTAGATAAAGTAAATTAGTTGCTGATATAAATTTCATTTTCTGTTTGTGGTTTAGCCATCATATGGTTACCTATGCTTTTGAAGTCTTTCTTGGTTCTCACACCCAAAAGGCAAAGTGTAAGACATTTTTAATATATTTCCAGACACCGAAGCATCTAGGCAGGTCTGAGTCATGACTGGCGGCTCAGGCACGCTCCCAGGTGACGCTTTGTTGTTGTTGTTTGAAGAAAACCTCCAATACAAGTGCAGCTAGACTCTTGGGGACTCTGCCTAGAAACGGGTATCACTTGCTCTAGGCCACGCTACAAGTCGTTGCCTCAGGATGGCTGCAGTCCTTCAGCCCACAGCCAAAAATTAAAATGAGAAGCAAGAGAAAGATTAAGGACATCGGTTGGGTGGGAATCACACACCCCACCAGAACTCACCTCCCCCCAGCCATGGTCTAGGCATCATTCTGAGCACGTTGTATCCAGGCCCTTAGTAACCGTGACATCTTGCCTCATGAAGTTCAAACTTGCTCCGTGAGAGGCATGATGAGCAACATGGTCACAACTTTACAAAACACACACCTAGCATTCACACTAAGTCACTGTCTCAGTATGGTTATGGTTCAGGAAGAGGGTGGGGAAATATCAGAAATAGCTTGCATTTTGTGACTATTCCTTGAGGTGTTTCTAACCTCCCACTGCAAGAGTTGTTTTAACTTCCAGTCCTGTGTTAGCTGGATCAGTGGGGGCATTCTTCAAGAGGACTGGAGCTGGGAATTGGGGTGGGAGTGCAGGGATGGGGAAGTGAGAAAGTGACTTCTTTGTAGATTCTAAAGCCTAATTCTAACATCTGAAGTTTTTGTTGAGGACTGTGGAATATGTGGGTGGCTTTGGCTGACGGAGTGTGTGAGTCGGGATATTTATGTGAGTGAGTTCTTGTGGGTGTCAGAGATTGATCTGATGAGTTAGGTACACCGTGTGTTACTCAGGATTAAGATGAAATGCAGAAAGGCAGGGTCAGAGGATAGTAAAAATAGAGAGGACAGGTATGTGAAACAATTATTAAGTAAAAATGAGAAATTATATGGGTATCAGAGGAAACTAGATGTAGCTCAATTACCTTACTCTGTGTGATGGACTATTACTGATTTGGAAATAATTGGGACAATATAAATATGATTTTTGTTTTCTGTTGCTGGTTCTTTGTGCTTTTTGAACAACCTTTTTGTTTTACTGTGATTCTTTGTTATGGTTTGTGTTGAGGCCAGTTTACCAACGGTATAAATTTCATATTATGGAGGTTTATAAAATATCAGCTTCTCACCTGCTTGAGGACCCACTTTGGATGATGTTGTGGCAATAGAGGAATGATCTTCTTGGCTGACTGTGTAGGCCTGAGCTGTGTGTTTTTTAAAAAATAGATTTTTAAAAAATACATATTTATTTGTAGAAGGATCAACTGAGTGGAATCAGTTGAGTTTTGTTTTTATTTATTGGTGAAACAGGATTAATTAGCCCAATTGCAGGCTAAGCTGAATTAATGTGCGGTCCAATTTTCAGCTAATAAAGGCAGACAAATTTGAAAATCAAGTGTTAGGAAGTTTTTTTCAATTCTGTTAAACTGATGATAAAGGAGAAAAAGCCAAAGCTTTCCACTTGGAAGCATTTCATGAATCTTGCAGTGGTACCAAATTATATATAGTTCTGATGTGATTGAAAGGAGATATATATATCCCAATATATATGTATCTACCTATTCCAATTGGGAAAAGAAAGTATAAAATATTCAGGGGGAAAAATGACCTAACAAGACAGAATATATTTCTTCTTTTCCTTCCTTAAAATTTTATAACTGAAATATAATAGGAAGTAAGTGTTTACTTTTAACAACATTACTTAAATCTGCTCATATATAGGGCACATCTCTTTTAAGATTCTACTTTTATGAGGGCTGACCATTACACCAAAAAGAACCAATTCAGAAAATCAACCAGATACGTCCTTTAGTGCTGTGTTGACATAATACAGATAACTGCCTTAATCCACTTTTCCCTGGGTCTTCAGTTGTGCAGCCCTAATCCATCCTGTCAGTGCCTGAATTCAAGATGCAGATTACTTGAATTTAAGGCCATGGTAACAGACAACAAGAAACCCTAAACTTTAGACACTGTTGTTTCCAGTCAGATAAAAAGGTTTTTTGGCTCTAAATATATTTATTTAGAATTACTTTGGCAAGATCAGGTGACAAATTTTACAGACATTGAACGGATGATAGCCATGGTGTTGGTCTTGGATCCTTCTTGGAGATATATGACCTAATTTCTATCTCTTTAACATGGGGCTGGTTGTTAGCTATGAGAGTTTTCATTGCTAGACCTGTAGAAGCAAAACTCCTTTTTCAGAGGTCTGTAGTTTAGGTCTTTATTTACTAGGTTTTAGAAAACTAAACTCAGAGTCACCTTCGTAATCTGAAAAGAAGGCAGCTCATTGTTCAGCAATATGGCGCAAAGGGGTGAGTATGAGAAGGAAAGCTGCCTTTCTCCATTGCTTCTGGGTATACATGCTGCTAATGGACATTTTTAATAAACTGTTCCTTTTTAGGGCCCCTTAAACTGTTTTTGGGCAGAGCTGAAGCATTTTCTTTGCAATGTTACGTGTCCTTCCCAACCATGTGGAGCTCCTGAAGCAGACCATGTAATATGATGTCCTGGCCTCCTCATAAGAAGAATGTTTTTCTCCAGGCTCTCCATTTCATAGCCGATTTATAGGTTAGAGGAGTACAGGACTGCTTGGACCCCTGAAGTTCTTGGTGGCTGTGGGTGCTTTTACCCCCATGACTGCTACGCCGCTTGATTCCATACTATCTAGATACTTCTCTTGATATGACTATCACATGCTTTGCTGTCTGCTTAAAATATTAGTCCATCCCTCTCATACTTATTTATTTTATGGATCCAGTTGGACCAGTGCTGGCCCATGTCCTTCTAGGTGCAAATTAAGACAAACAGACTTTCCTACCAAATTCATTTGTGCCTTCCTTTTGCCCCAGGGGGAAGGATACGTGTGTGAGTGAGCACCGTGCCAGTTGAATACTGGGAATTAAGGGTCTGAACCCAAGGGGCTCTACTTATTTTCAGTTCTTTGTGACAGGCAAAGTTTCTAGGCAGGAGCGTTTGAACATTTCAGCCTTCATCACAGGCGCATGCAGAACCTTACCTGGATTAATCATCTAAAGTTAGAGAAAAAATTTCTATTTATCTGTTAGGAAAAGGCTTTTCAATCTGAAGGTCAGATTCCATTGCAGCAGTTACTGCTACTACAAAAATGTGGTCTGACAAAAGAGATTCACGACCTTTACCAATGGTCACCTGTGCAGTGAGATTTAATACCAGCAGCTAGATTCCACTGTCACAAAGGAACAAGACAGATCCTTCCAGTTCTCTCTAATGGAGTCCAACCTTTCCCAGAATTGGGCATAAAGAATGACTAGGATGAAAAGAATTATAATGAAGTCTCACTGGCTTTTCTCAGTATAAAAGTGTTCATAAGAAAGAGAATTAACATATCGTTGTCTTTCAGCTGATTTCAGCCATATCATTTTATGGTTCATGGTATTCTGTAACATTCTCTCCTTCTGACTTTTATGGGCATAAACCTTGGGAAATAATTTTTCTGACTCATGCACTGACACTGTAAAAAGTAAGATGTTATTTTAAATACTTAAAGCGATTTCAAAAATCCATGGCTTACATTTAAGAGTGTACCTGTGGTTTGTGTTTGTTAGTGTGCCACTTTATGTACACTCAAGTCTATGTATGTATTAGGAGAATATTTTATAATTATAGAACTGTAATACCCAAAGCTATTGTTAGAATAATTTTCTTATAGGAAACTTGGCATGCCTTAATTTTGACTTCAAGGACAAGAGAAGTCTTTCACAGGTCATGAATGAAGAATTTGGAATCAACCTCGTAATGAGATGCCATAATTGTATAGATCTATTTTGGTTGTTCAGCATCCCACAAACCCTTGATTTATTTTTTTAATGTCTCAGTTGTAGGCTCATAAGAGTGTGACCTATTTAGAAATTATTTTACCATGTATTATTATTTTATTTCAGGGAAATATGGGCAGCAGGCAGCATTTTCCTTTGCTCCCAGTTTTAGTAAGTCTCCTTTGTTTCAGGAATAGCCATTCTTATTTTCCCGCTGCCATCTTTGTACTTCCTAGCCAGGCTCCAAACAAATGTACAAGAAGGCAAAGATGGGTTATTACTATATAGTATATTGAGAGTTTTTACTTTATGGTTCTCGCTGTGCTTTTAATTTTACTTTTCTTGCCACACAAGAAAAATAATTTGATGTCGATTATGTGTTTTTTGATATTCTAAAAGGGCAGTTATTAAAGTGATGGGCTTTTCTTAGGGTATTTGATCCTATGTTAATAGCAAGTGTGTGATATAATTTTAAAATAAAACTATTTATTAAGATGTTTTATTGTGTTTGTTAAATTTTATTTAAGTAAAACTGTGATGTTTATTTAATCTTTTAAAATAATATTTGAAATTATCTGCGCCCCCAAATTAAAAGTAATATTTGCCCTTAATTCAAGTAGAATATTCTTCTTGCTACCTATCATAAACAAAGTAAACTATGCTTTGGTTTTTTTACTTTACATGAAATAGTCAAAGCTCTTTGAGTTTCTCTAAATTACTCAGTATTGAATTTAGAGTGTGAATTGCATGATGAGGAAAAAAATATATGAAAAGATACTTTTAAAAACACTTACCTAAAAATCTAGAAAGCTTTTAGGTGAGAAACAAATACTGAATCAGCTTATGCCCCTGCTCTTAAATATCTCTTAATCTAATTTGATCTCCATTTTCATTTGAGGGATGCATCATAATTTATATTATTAAGGAGAATTTTATCCTTATTATGTAGGAGTGCTGTCAAGGTTGAGAATTCTAAAGGGACAATTTGAAGTGAGGCCCCATATATTGCTCCACTTATTTAAAACAAAAGTTATATCAAGATTCTTATCTACTATGAAGGAAGAAAATCTAGTGGGTTTTTTTCATATATATATTTTTTGCCAGAAGACTCTTTTTTTGGTTAACCGCCTCTGATCATTGGGAACGAGCTACATGATGCTGCCGCAGTTCCAGGCTCCTGCTCTCTGACCGTTACAGGTCAGCAGACAGGCTCTCAGGGACCCAGTCTGACACAGCTACTTTTTCAAATTGTGCTGGTTGTCAAGGGAAAAAGAGAGTCTGAAAGGTCTGGAACAGGCACTATACTTCCTCACCACTTGTTAGCCAGAACTAGTTACATAGTTCCACCCAAGCCGGGAAATGCGGTTCCAACACATGCCCTGAAATGGGGGCAGTTAGGACTGTTTGGCAGATGACACTAATGACCCCCATAATTTCTAAGGTCTTTGTGTTGTTAAAGCCCATTGTGTATCAATGAACATAAAACAATCTTACATTCTCTAAGGACCACTTGATCAATTTATTTTTGATATTTTTATATTGAGGGCAAAAAAATTTATTCTAAAACAGCTCCAGAAAAAGCACAATTTAATAGTTCTTTATTAAAAATGCTTAAATAGGGAAATGATCACAATTTACCTTAATATTATCAACATGATTTTTGTTGTAGTATTTTATAATGAAAATTAGGATATTAAAATAAGTCAGTAACCAGTGCTTTCAGCTCATGGGCAAGAGGAAGTACCTTCTTGAGTCCTTACCATGTATTCTTCAATTTATACCTTAGTCATTTAACTCCCACAACATTCCTGTAAGACAAGTATTATTATCTGCATTTTATTTTATTTTTTTCGTAATGGTCACCTCCCCCTTATCTGCATTTTCAAAATGGAAATCTGAAGCTCAAGGATATTAGATGGCTAGCCAAAGTTATGCAAGTAAAAGCAGAGGAGAAAGGATTGAAACTTAGGACTGCTTCCCTAAAAACCCATTTATTCTAAGTTAGAAGAAATATTACCCTTCTTGCAAAAGAAAATCAATTTATATTAGCTATCTTATTTTATAATTTGTCATTTTACAAAATAAAATGGCAGTCGTGGGATTTGAGAACTATTTCTATAAGGAAACCATACCAATATTTTGCTTTTAGATAATATAGTTGTTTGTCAAATTATAAAACGAAATTAAACCTATCAAAACTAGCAGCCATCCTACTCACTGCCCTCACTGAGGTTCAGATAAGCCTGCGCTGACATTTCTTGGAGCTGAAGAGAAAATAAAATTCTTCCTACGTGCACTATAGTTCTAGGATTATGTAGTCTCCAATAAGGAATCCAAAGATGGAAAGAAAGTCATATTTGAATGCTTACTGGTGCCAGGCATTCTGCTTTCATGTACAGTGTCTTGCTTAATCTTTATAATACATGATATGAGAAAGGCTTCAACCACGGAAATAAATGACTTGAGGTTTGAATGCCTGCCCGCTCCTCTACTCTTATCAAGTCATCTGAGACATAATTTCTTCATCTGTAAAATAGGGATAATACTGTTTGCTTTTGCAGGACTCTGATTAAACTTAAATGAGATAAATGAGATGAAGGCTGGGAGAGGATCCTGCCTGGTGTGCCATCGTTAGATCCAGCATTATCTTAAGTGGGCTACTTTGTAACAGCAGAACCTGGGTTTTTGGGCACTATGTTCATGTTGAGTAAGTACTGACTGAGAAATAACTGAACTGGGCCATCATCACCATCAAAAATAATCTCCTTCCCCTTTGCCTCCTTCTGCTCTTCTCCTCCACCTCCTCTTTCTTCTTCTACTTTTCCTTCTCTTCTTTTTCCCTTCACTTTTCCTCTTCCATCATCATCATCATCTATGTGGAAACTGTTCGTTTGGAGGGCTCTTATTTCCACCATCATAGATATGTCCAAGAGAGAAAACTTATTTCTCTCCATGAGACATAAAATCAATCTGGAAAGCTGTCTTTTGTTTAATTGTGAGGTACAATGTGCCAATATCTTGTGCCGTAATCCATCCTCCAGACATTGAATCCTCGGGACCACAGCTCCAATGATCAGCATGCTATATGGCAGAAAACTCAGTTATCTTTTGAATAGAAGAATTTCATCATAGAAAAAGTCCAACAAAACCCTTTTATTTGGTTGAAAATCTTTGTTGTTTTTTTTTTTGTTACATTCGTAGTGTTAAAACTTAAAAGATTCCATTCAGTGAGCACTCTGGCAAAAGGCTGTTCTCCTTCAGTGCCATTTATCCAGACCGGAGAGTTCATGCACTTATATTGAATTTGTCTCTGAATTTTATTTAACCTTGCCCACATTCTGCCAAATTAGCAAAATTAACTGCTGGAATACAGATGACAGTAAGGACAATTGCTAAAAATTGAATTCATTTTCCTTTGGTACTTAAATGGCATAGTCAGCAATGCCCCCTGCTGCTAAGTGGATCCATAGCAGAGAAACCAGGGGCACCAGAGACGGAAGAGGGCAAAGCCAGGATCTGCATTAAATCATACCTTATATGAGTGATGAGCTCAGAAAAGAATTCTCTGGTTGCAAACAGAATGAAAGGGGATTGGGAGAGACTGTTGCTGTATCCAAACGGGAATAGATGAGGCTAAGGGAGACTTTGAGAGAGAGGTTCATGTACGACACGGCCTTACGTCAAAGATCACATTCAGGGCATAGCTGTTTTGGATAATGTCAAAAGAGACGTTATGAAGCTGAGAAAGGGAAGCCAGGGGTCAAGAACCAAAGAAACAATTCAGGCTAAAGACAGGAGAATTTTGAGTATGGTTTTTGCACATGAAACTGATGGAAGCGTGTAGCACAGAAGCCTGTTTCTGAAAGAATTTCATTGCCAAAGAAGCCTTTGACTATTTGAGCCTTAAAAAACAACACTCGGGCCCCAAAACTTGTACTACTAGGAAGCAGACCTAAAAATTTGTATAGGTCCCAAGGAGGGCATACTCTTGAATCTCCAGTTTAGATGTGGTGATGGAGAATAAAGGACAAGGAAGAAACTCCTAGAGGGTTGAACAGGGGCCTTATGGAAGAATGGACAAGTGAGTTTCTTCCAGAAAACAGAACAGCCTCATCAAGAAATTTACCCACTCCCAGGGCAGAAGGACTGCGTAATGACTGCCGGACAGAATTTCAGCATTTCTGTGGATCAATGCTGTCTTGGGTTATAATGTCCCTGTCCCATCATTTTATATTGTATATGAGGTATAACTTGTCTTGTTTGTTTATAGTTTTCTAGATTCCAAAAAAAGAGACATCCAGACTTCTGAAGAAGAATGAGCACATCCTGGAGGTCTTGGACTTGGAACTGGAGGCAATATCTGGATGGATCTTTGAGTCATCCTTTTTGGGAGTTGAGTATGCTTTGTGTGTAAGGAGAAGGGATAAACCATGGCAGACCTAACAAAGATCATGCCCCATTTCCCTGGTATGGAGTTGTTGCTAGAGAGCAGTGGTCTAATTAGGGACTACATTTCCCAGCTCCCTTTTCATTTAGGCGGAGCCAAATGACTAATTTGCACCAATGGCATGTGAGCAAAGTGATGTGTGTCACTCCTTGACTGAAGTCAAGAAACCTGCATACCTTTATTTGCTTCTCTCCCCCTTCTGTTGGTAGGATGAAGCTGATGGTTAATTTTATGTGTCAACTTGGCTAGGCTAAGTGATGCCCAGACAGTTGTAAAAACATTATTTTTAGATGTGTCTGTAAAGTTGTTTCTAAAAAAGATCAGCTTTTGAATGGGGAGAATGGGTAAAGAAGATCACCATCACCAATGTGGGTGGGCAGCATCCAATCTGTTGAGAGCCTGAACAAAAAGGTAAAGGAGGGGTGAATTTGCTCTCTCCTGAAGCTGCAACATCCATCTTCTGGCACTGGCATTCCTGGTTCTGGGGCGTTCAGGCTCCCGCCGAGACTTACTCCGACTGAGACTTACACCGTCAGCTTCCCTGGTTCTCAGGCCTTTGGGTTTGGACTGGAACTATACTATTAGCTTTTCTGGCCCTCCAGTTGGCAGTTAACAGATTGTAAGACTTCTTAGCCTCTGTAGTTGTGTGAGCCAATCTCTCATAAGTCTGTTTTTAAATATCTATGTCTATTTCTGTTTATCTATCTATCTCTTATTGATTCCATTTCTCTGGAGAACACGGACTGACACACTTCTCAAGAAGAGCTTTAAAGCCACAATGAAGATGTCAAAGCCTCCATCAGCCTAGCTAGGGGGGCTGCCTTCTCCACTGTTATTCAGGAACCTAGGCTGATAGAGGCTCTGTCATCTTCAGCACGTGGCTTCCAAGGTCACCCTGGTTATCAATATTTAGCTAGCATAGAAAAAGAGACAGCATGGAGGTTTTCACATTCAACCCAGAGTTTAACTGGTTAATACACTTGCTTAAGGTTAAAGCTAGTACATGATGGAGCTGAGACTTCTCACCCAGCTCTGACACAAAGATCCCTGCTG